AAAATATTACAGTGTATACCCTAACTGTATATTCAGTAAACTGGCCATGTTCTGTTACTCCATTATAACGTTCTGAGTGCCATCTTGAAAGATAGCCGAGTTGTATCAAAGCAATACAATGGCCTGTTAAACCTGCATTGATAGATTCATTGACACCTGGCAGAYAATCATTGGAAGGCATCTATCATTACCAAMTTCTAATAGTGTCTGGCTTTGATGAAAAGCTCGYTTAAATTGACGCTGGAATCGAACAGGAAAATGGTGTATTCTTGAGTGAGGAGAATCTTGTAACGAGAATGCCGCTGCCTATAATTTTAATGCAAACTTGAAGTATATTTTGGGCGAGATCTAGGTCTCCCAATGTACTTGTTGAATTTGGCGCCTGGCTAGTGATCATTCCCAAGCTGTTAGGCTTAAAGACGACCATTTTTAAATTGTAAAACCCACTCAACTTTTAATATTAATTAAATAACTCACCATATTTAGTAGTGTATTTGTATAGGTTTCGCTGGCGTACAACAAGATAACCTCYACGTTGTTTATCGCTAGGTTGTGCATCACATTGCTGGCTTTGTCTTCTTTGGTTGTGTTGCTAAGAGTTTGAAGTGTAATATATCGAATGTTGTATTTTTCATCACTTGCGATGGACTGGAAATAGGCTGCTTGATATAAACTGTTTTCTGTTGGTGAAAGAAATGAAATGTTGTGTAACTTGACGAAAAGATGCTCATACATTTAACAGTAAAGTTGAGTCATACATGAGCCGATATACTATATAGGACGAGCCGACGGGTTCCTGGAAGAAATACTGTTCTTATGTCCCAGCCAGCCAGCCACAACTGCCGGTTGCCAGCGATAAATTCAGGAAAAAAGAARCTCTCCAGGCAAGGAATACTTTCTAAGAATTTTTTCCAGGAAAATATAAATTRCCTAACTAAAAAAAATACAAGACCACAAAAACGTTTGCCAGGAACAAAATTATTTTAAAGAAGGAAGGGCGTCACATTTGACTGTGAGYTCCCTTTCCCAGGAAAACATTCGTACAAGAACAGTTATCTAGAAGAACAATATAAAAATATATACAAAGCCCGTCGGCTCCTCCAGATATAGCTGACGAGGCTCCAAATGAAAGAAAGATACCTTCATAAACAAGCGCAACTTTTGTCCATTGGAAAGATTCCAGGATCGTTATACTGGCATGAGCATAGTCCTTGTAGTCTGCAGATAATGCAATGGAGAGCTGACACGAACTTAACGTCCTTTTTTGCCTGTATCCTTTGTCGATAAGACCAAATATGGGTATGTTTGTTAATGCACTGAAAACGCAGCCTTTGAAATCGTGTTCGCCCCCAATGTCAATAATTGCCATGACGTTGCTCGTGAATAAATCATATGCTGTAAACGGATATAAACACGGTCGTCAGACAATCAGAGCGCGCATTATACATCAGAATTTTAATTCATTAGTGATTTTTTTTTTTTTTTCTTACCATTTTCGAATAGCTCTCTCTGTTTTGTTATGTTATGTCGTCTTAACCTCAACAACGATCCGRCAGAGATGAGTTGAGAATTGATATAAGACATTGCTTGATCGACATCACTTCTTGCAGCAAATTTATRATTTGAATCTAGGATATCTGAAATACCGAAGAACGGTTTAATTCTATTTATTATACTTCACTAGTATGAGCATTGCACGTTGTGTGCTAGCACTACGCAGGCAACAGTGTAATTTCCAGAACTTCAGTGTATCCAGTCGGCTTAACCCGACAATATATTATTGTGTAAAGGTGTTTGTCGCCTTATTAGTATCTGCTTCTATTTAAAACACTCTGGTACTTGGCAGTCTTTACTTATTTCCTTGAGCTTTCTTGAGCTTTCTCTTGAGTGTTGAATTTTTAATGAATTTCAATTTTATTTATTTTTATTGAATTTTTAATGAATTTATTWATTTTTTATTAGTTCAAAACAAGCCGGGCACGGTATATTCCTTTAGCGAGATTTAGGATTCTCTCACGAGTGAGCGTAGCGAGTCATATAAGATTGCATATGAAAACAAACTATGTAGTAAAATACCTTTTTCAATATTTTCAATATTTATAYAAACCTCGAAGGCGGAAATAACAACTTTTCGAAAGAGAGAAATATAGATATTTCATAGATAATTATGATAAATTTCCATTCTTACCAATATATAATGTCGAGCCATTGCTGTACACTTTGGAGTGAATACAGATGAGAATGAATACCAATCTGTAAAAAGTTTCCATGKGTCACTTGACTGAAAAATAAGGAAGTAAAATTTTTTGAGGCAGACATTTTGTATAGACAATTTGTGTAGTTTGTTTGTYTAGCGGTTCAAAACTGACCAATACGTATATAAAAATAGGAACTCTGTCGGTGTTTTACATGAGAAACGAGCGGTAGCTTTTTTAAGAAAAGTCCAACATTTCGCTGGTCGAATGTGGAAGTGATTTTAATCGCAAAATAGTAAGTAATCTTTYACACAGAGAGACAGGAAATTTCTTTCTGAATAATAATAAAGGTCTCTATTGAAATGACAAATGACATATCATATTTACAGAGTATAAGTAAAAGAAGCATATAAACATATAAAGTGACAATATAAGATAAAATTCAATACAGTAAAATGAA